CGTCGCGAGCGTCCCATCCTGTCATCCAGTTTATATGAGGCATCCATGAGGGCACTAGTGACCCAAATGTTGTTGGAAAAAATACATTTTTCACTTATTGGCAACATTGTCTTGATTTGTTAAGTACATTTCGCCGGCTGTTGGCATGAGCGGGTGCCCGGCGTCCCGGAGGCCATGCGGGGTGAAAGCATTTCAGATGCGAGGCGTTCTCCAGGGCTGCCCGCGTCCACCTGTCTCAGCCGCTCGTGTCACCCACACGTCTCCACCAGCCACGCCGCTCCTGTTTGTTTGCGGCCTCCGAAGGGAACGCTGCGTCGTGGCCGTCGCAAATTAGCACAAGTCAAGTCCATTTCTAGCTCGCACGATTAGCCGGGGAGTCACGTCAAATTAAACTTCAAATTAGTGCTGATGCCTCCCAGGAGAGGCAAAAGAGCTTCAGCTGCGTCAGTGACGAAACTGGCCCTCTGGCGCCTCGGCTGACTTTTGACATTGCTCCTGTCTTTCATCTCAACTTTATTCTGATCGCGAATCCTTCTGAAAGTCACTGAAATGGCCATTCTGAGATGAGGGGAGTGGCAACTAGTGGAGGACATGAATCTGATAAAGAAGCATCACAAAACATGCATATGGATGGACAGACAAAAGTTAATGGCATTTCAGCTGAAGAGAGAAAGAGAAGACAGGAGATGAGAATCAAAGGAGACAATGACGAGCTTTAGAATCATCTGTAAGTGTAAGAAGTAAAGAGATATTTTTCTTGCTGTCATCAATTAGAAGTCAAAGTATCCAGCCAAGTTTCCACATTTTTTCAAAAGCAACAAAACAGATTTTTACTGAAGAGAAGAAATTTTCACCAAGGCTGAAAGATGCTCTTTGTGCTTGGGAGGTCTAAAAGTCACAAACGTGATTTCACGTAATCAAAGAAGGTCTGCGACTGGACAACACTGACTCGTTCCTTGACTTCAGCCTTCTGACTGGGAAAGATGCTAATCGTTTTTCATTTCAGTTCTGTTGTTGCTTTTACACATATTGAGTCAATTGTGTTTGAGACGTAATACGGCTGATTATTTTGTTGGTTTCTGCTCCGTGACCGACCGCTGCACGTCTGTGAGAAGCACAGAGACCGATGGGATGTTGAGTGATAGAAACTGAGACATGCTCCAGTTCCGCTACGAGACATCAGCAAATGAAATCAAATGACCCGAATTAACTGCTTTATAATGAACTATTGATCCACAAGCTTCACAACATCATTTTTGCTGCAAAGACAAATCATGATTGACCTAGCACCGGTTGGGGTCAAAGGTCAGGGGTCAGAGGTCACCTCACAGCTGCAGCAGATGTTTGTGTGCAGTAACAGTAATGATAACGATACTTAATGATCGTGAAGATCACATTAGAGACTACACTATTGTTATCAAACAGAATGCTGTAGATTTTTTTTTTTTTTCAGATTCACTGGGATCTGCTCCAGATGGCCAGTCCAACACAGAAACCCCTTCACTCGTTTCTGCTGTATTTCTATAGTATCACGGCTCATTGGGCGGCTGGTGCAGATCCAAGTCCACAGTTCAACATTCAGAAAGTGAAAAGATCAAGAGCAAAACAACTGCTGTGCAAAGGGCCTCAGCCGTAGTTCAGTGCATGTATGCAGCAGTGAATAAACATGATTGGTGATTATAGACACACACACACACACACACAGATTCTCCCAGGTGGCTGAATTGTCTTCTGGCCAATAATCCTCTCTGCATTGTGTCGGCCCCCACTCCCTCGGCCCCGGGCTCCTGCGTCTCTGAGCCGGGCACACAGCTTCTTCCTGGCAACACAAAGAGCACTTCTGTCATCGCCATGACAATGGCAGTGTAGGATGATTGGCAGATTATGAAATGGACCAATGGCAAAGCAAGGAAGGGTTGCCAAGTGATCGAGAAGCTTCTGGACCTCCAGTTTCTGACCCCGGGTCAGTTTCTCAGGGGAACAAAGTGACTTTTGGCCAGCGATTCCATATAACGCAACACTATATCAACGACGTCATGTTCTTCGTATGTCTTTCTAGGAAGGCCTGAGAAGGCCAGACACGTCTAGATCTCACTAACCCACCCGTTCACATACTGTATGTTTGATTAATAAATATTCATACCCTGCTGTTGCATGATGGATGACGAGCCGGCTCTGAGCGAGTGGAAGCTATACGCTGAGATTCAGAGCCGGAGACGAGGCGCATGGGTGGCGCAGGAGGTTTCAGGATGGAGAGAAGAAAGACTCTTTTCTTGAAGTGACACTTGATAGATGACCAAACATCCTACAAACCTTCAGTGTCAACAGACTGTCAACACTTCTATTGAAAACACTACATTTAATTAGTGATAGGAGCAAACACTTTCGTTTAGAGATCAGTGTACGTTCACAAGTTTAGTTTTCACATTTTCGAAAACGTTTGTCAATGACTCGTTACGTGTTGCCAAAACCATAGATTTGAGCTGCTATATGGCAACACTGAGGTTAACAGTAATGAGTCAGACTGCTTTATTCGACTAATATGTGTTGAGTTGAAATTATGAATCTGCATTTTAATGAGCAGCAGTGAGCATCATGCGTGCCAGTCTGTGCCACCCCGTGCCCATCTGTTGTACGCCAAATCATCTTTCCTCTCGTTTTAGAGGCCATTTGGAGTGAAAATCTCAGACGAGGATATTGAACGGAGTGTGTGTGTGTGTGTGTGTGTGTGTGTGTGTGTGTGCGTTTTTGTGACAAATGAGGACATAAATTTGTATAATGACAAGGGTATGACATAGGTATTACAAGGAGAAGGTGACTTTTCAGGACATTACCCCATGTCCCCACTGTGCAAAACGCTTATAAATCACACAGAATGGAGTGTATTGAAAATCTGAAATAGCACAAAGTTTCCTGTGAGGGGTAGGTTTAGGGGTAGGGTTGGTGTAGGGCAAATGATGTATATGGTCTGTACAGTAGAAAAACCATTACACCTATGGGATGTCCCCACATTTCACAAAAACAAACCTGTGTGTGTGTGTGTGTGTGTGTGTGTACGTGAAGGCAGGGAAGTGGGAGGGCAGAGGACTTTATTCAGCTCAAGTGTGGGTGGCCGTGGGGGATCGACGGCTCTCTAGTTTTCTATCTGCATGTGAAAGGAAATGCACACATTGTTTATGCTTTGACTTTATTTCAGTCCTGTGAGAGAAGTTTACTCTGGACATCATAAATGAAATGGAAACAATCAGTTTTCTCCTCGAGTGAGTGATGATATCAGCACACCGGAGGCCTGTTAACACTGACATGAGATCATCCTCACTAAACATCAAGAATTGAAGAAATACAGACGTCTGAGTTTTTCAGGACCGCAGTATCGCTCGGTTTTTAATGCTATTTAATCAGGGGTGTTTTTCACAACAGTGGTTTGGGTCTGAAACAAATACAGAAACAGAATTGTGAGATTTTGGCAGCTATAATTAGCCACAGACATTTCCTGCCTGTTCTCTATCCTCTGTCTATCGTGACTTAAACCAACAATTAGAAGTACAATTTTAACTGAATAATGAGAATTAACGGACTGTATTTTTTATGCAGTATTGCAGTAACATTTATCCTTTATCTGCACATACGAATGTGACGAGGCTTTCAAAACAGATGCAGGAAAACTGGAGGTGCATCATCTCGCTCTTCAAACAAGTGCCCTGTCGCACAAGAAAAACTCTGTGACGGAGGAGACTGCTATATATTTGGTATTTGGATTGTACTCAGAAATGGTTTGGACATATTTTTTAAGTATCTGCCTGTAGCAGATTATTAATACGTATATTGTGCACATCATGTGTGATGTCTCTTATGTGTATTGTTTACTCTATGCGACCTTGTGAAATGCCCCTAGGCGACAAATAAAGTGTTTGAAAATGAAATTGGAAATTGAAATATTGTGATGTTCCGGAATCACAGCCGGCTTCAACTTTGTTTGAATACTGTATGAATACTTATGGCATTTCCATCACTGGTTTTGATGTGATCATTGTGTGTCATGTTAAGAGTGACACAAAAGACAACTTGAAATCCAATTTGAGCAGCCATGAGCTTCCAGACTGAGATACATCAATCAAATCGCATTTTAAACCATCTCCATATGTGGTTTGAGTCAGATTTGAAAAAAGCCTATGTGTTTTTTTGTTTTGTTTTGTTTTTTGCTGTTCAGACGTTCAGAAACCCATCTGGATAATAACTGCATATGCAAAAAGTCTAAATTTTGCTGTCAGATTATGAGGAAAAAATGTCCTCACAAAGATGGCGATATCCAAAATCCTTGACCTTGTGGGGACATTTGTTTGCTCTGCACGAGGAAAACAGCTTATAAACCATACAGAATGAAGCATTTAGAGAATGTAAAAATGGCCTGTAGTTCTGTGTGAGAGGCTTAGGTTAAGAGGATAGAAAACACAGTCTGTACAGTAGAAAAACCATTATGAATATGGAATGAACCCATAAAACATGGAAACCCAACATGTGTGTGTGTGTGAGTGTGTGTGTGTTCTCTTTTCCTCATTAATTGTATTTTGACGTTCTGTTTTTCTTTTCAGCATTTTCAGAAAGAAGTGTGACCGGAACCGTAGCACAAACACACCACTGACTGTGTTTTATTCAGGTCACATTTTGGTGCTCTAAAAAGGAATAAAAAAATTGCAGGATTTATGCATTTGTTTCACAATCATACGTCATACATTTGAATGGGAAAAAAAATGAATTCTTCATGCAAAGCTCTGCTGGGTGAAATAGTTCATTTCCACAACATTTCCCAGCTGGGACTAACATGACCTCTTGCTTCCACATATCAATATAAACATAATACCTTCTGGAAAACAACTTGCAAGCAAAAACTTCTTCGTTTCCATCTCGCAGGCAAACCGCTTGTATTGTGTTGATTTCCACAAATAGTTACGATGAGCTCACATGTCAAACTCTGTTGTCTTCATGTGTGTGTTTGTCAGGGGTGATGTCAGACAGGCAGTTCGGGACTCAGTTTGTGTGCAGTGTGGTGGCGTCTCACGTCAGTCACCTGCCCTCCACCAGCCTCAGCTTCATCTGGATCGCTCCTCCACCCGGCACCGGCTGCGTCAACTTCATGTGAGTCACGCATCCAACATACACAGCTCATGCAAACCACACGGCTCTATTTCAGGCATGAGGAAAAACTCTGACATCATGAGGCAGATTCTTCACGAGTGAGTGAATCCTGAGGCTCACCTGAGAGATCGTTGTGTTTGCATAAAACATGCCACGCTTCCAGAAACCAAACCCTTCTCTGATGTAGGTTTGCAATAAACATGCATGCAGTTTCAGAACAACAGAAGGTCAGATCAAAAACAAAAACCTGCTGAGAAGAGCTTTTCCTCCTCACATCTAGATGACACTCTGAGTGCAGAATCAAGAATGAGGTCAGCAAACATGATCAGGTGTGAATATTCATGCTGCCTTCACATGTTATCAGAATGATCATTTTCCTAGTCAGAAATTGGACATGAACGGCCTCTCAAGTTACTTTTAAGACTGGGAAACCTTGAGATCGTTTGGATGCAAGTTTCCTCGTTGGACGGCCATAATCATGGCAGAGGAGAGCACTATTGCTGTAGTGACTTCTATTTGTTTTGCTGTTTAAAACAGTCATTGTCGTTACAGTCTTGTATTTTTACATATTATATATAAGAAGCCTTTCAATGCATATTGTATTTTACACAACATAAACTGCATTTATCCAGAATCATCAGACTGCTGTATTTGTTTATATGACTGTCAACGAATGGAACGCTGAAAAATCTGTAGGATACTAACAAAACATCTTCAATGCATTTTGACTTTAATAAGATTTTCTCAAGAAATAGGCAAGATTGAACCCGATGCCCTGCATGATTCCTGTATTTTCCAACAACACACCTGAACACGAAAGAATAGTGCACTAGGAAAAGTGCACTCAGTATAATGACAGACTGCTGAGAGATGTCTTGTTATGTGCTTTAAATTCCACACAAAGGCAGAGTAAAGGCACTCAGTGCTATACGTCTGTTTGTGCAGATTTATAAATCCCGATCTCAAGGATAAATATGCCGATTTGCCAGCTCATATGGAGGTGAACAATCATTGCTAACAGCGGTGAGGTGTATGTTTGCGGTTCACTACAGCTCAGAGAACAAGCACACAGACAGTGACAGCGCCTCAGACCATCTAACGTGTCCATTATGCCGCTCTTCTGACACAGACAAACCCCTGAGAGCAGACGCTCATTTACAGTTTACACACAATTCATGAAACAATTCATCATTTTCTCACAATCTCAAAACTACACACCAACTTGTGCAAACCTCAAACTTCCAGATCAAAGTCAAACATTTTAGTCAAAAACATATTCTCTTGTCAGAATCTAATCTTTGGCCTTAGATGACACACAAACCTGTCAAATACACTGACTGGAGGACACTAGCGAGATCAATTCAAAACACTGCTACAAAAACCTCCTTACAGTACGGAGCATAAATAGAGCGGTGCAGATACAGTAAAAGTCAGCTGTATCTGTAGCTGTAAGAAGAGTTTACTTTCACTACACTACTGTAAAGAGATCTTACAGTAGATGAAAAGCACTAGAAGAGAAAAGTTCAAAAACCAAACAACTGAATATACAGTAAACACACATTGGAATATACTGTTAGTTACTGTACATCAATAAATAAATTCAGCATCCTCTGCCAAGATGCATTTCAGGATTCATGAAGTGGCGTTTACGGGCACACTTCAGGGTTTTCCGTCTCTGTCAGGCGAGCGAGGCCGGGGTCAGAGGAGTCCTGTGCACACGCATGCGTTCCTGTCTTCCCGCCGTTTGTCACTTTGAGCGTTTATGTCGGGCGGACAGAGAGCAACATTTCTGAGCATTCAAGGCCGAATGTTCAGCCCTCATTCATAACCCTGCCATGAAAGCATGATGGGAAAAAAGTGCCGCTGCCTCTGAGGCGAGGAGTGTTTAGGCATTTCTGTTATTACGATTAATTGTGGTGGAATGGAGTGCGGGCTGTTTGTGATGGACCATCTGTTCAGGGCAGCCTGTGTTTCTGGAACATGCAACGCAGTTATGCTGTGTGCTTATTGTTATTTTCCTTTCCTGGAAAGAGTCAATCATATATAGTGTCTTTAGTTAAATAAACCAATGCCAGATGTCATGTGAGTGAGCTGGGGCGATAAAATGACCGGCTGAAGAAGTGAAGAATGGCACAGAGATGGCGGAGGAAAGAGAGAGTTTCCAATGTTTAAATGTTGAAGTCCACAGACACAGCGAGCTCGACCGCCAGCAAACATCCAGCGCTGCGCAGAGAGAGCGAACATTCATTTAACTCTCAGGTGTAACGCGTGAAATTCACAGACGCCAACTGAAAAAATGGCAATTTTGGCATTATAATACAGAAATATTTTCTTAAATTATATACTGATGTTATGTAGTCCTTTGTGAAAAAGAAGTGCACTTAAATGTATGGAATGTGCACTTGTAGTGTACTTCAAATGCTACAATTATATTTTTTTAAATACTGTACTTGCAGATGATATAATATTAATGAAATAAAAGACCACTTAAGTGTATTAAAGTGAGACACTTTTATGACTTTTAACAAGTGCGCTTTTTAGAGTTTTTCTCGATTGCTAACACACAATTCATGAAACAATTCATCATTTTCTCACAACTATAAACACAACCTCAAAACTACACACCAACTTGTGCAAACCTCAAACTTCCAGATCAAAGTCAAACATTTTAGTTAAAAACATATTCTCTTTTGTCAGAATCTAATCTTTGGCCTCAGATGACACACAAATAGACTGACTACTTTCCTGACTAGAGTAAAATCCATCAATAAGCTGTCAGAAAAGTTTACTTTTACAGTTTTTTTTTTCAATTGCTAACAAGCATTGTTCAATACTGAAGCCACTTTTTCAAAACTGTTCATACAGACTGCATTACCAACATGCATCTTTGCCAAACAGTTGATCTCACCTCCAAAACTCACTCAGACCAACAAAACACTTCATATAGGTCTCAAAATAAGCTTGTTTCACCAAAACACTGCCAACAATTCTCATTCAGAAAACATACATTTCATTCATAACACACTGATCTAAAAAACACTAACAGTGACTATGAACTTTTATCTTTGAAGTCTGAATGATTTGTCACATAAGTATTTCATTATAGGATAAGAATAACATATTTTCATTTTACTACACAAATGTAATACAGCACAAAGAATGAATGAATGAATGAATGAGCTTTATTGCCAGGTATGTTTACACATACGAGGAATTTGTTTTAGTGACAGAAGCTTCCACAGTGCAACAGAATGACAGTGACAGAACAAAAAACACAGATAATAAAAAAATAAAAAATAGAACAAGTAAATAAGGAATAAAAATATATAAATCGACAATTGTATGTGCAGGTATATTACAATAGACAGTTTTGCATGTACAGGTACTGTATATTATGTGCAAATTTGAGGTGTAGACTGAGTATGTGTGTTAGATAAATAAGTGTATGAGTGAATAAATAGTGTGTGTTCCACAGTTATTGTTAAGTGATCATGAGATGGATGGCCTGAGGGAAGAAACAGTTCCTGTGTCTGGTCGTTCTGGTGCTCAGAGCTCTGTAGCGTCGACCAGATGGCAACAGTTCAAAGAGGGAGTGTGCTGGATGTGAGGGGTCCAGAGTGATTTTGCCAGCCCTTTTGCTCACTATGGATGAGTACAGTTCTTGGAGAGAAGGGAGGGTTGTACCAATGATTCGCTCAGCAGTCCGGACTACCCTCTGTAGTCTTCTGAGGTCAGATTTGGTAGCTGAGCTGAACCAGACAGTTATAGAAGTGCAGAGGATGGATTCAATGATGGCGGAGTAGAACTGTTTCAGCAGCTCCTGTGACAGGTTGAACTTCCTCAGCTGGCGAAGGAAATACAACCTCTGCTGGGCCTTTTTCACAATGGAGTCAATGTGAGTGTCCCACTTCAGGTCCTGAGAGATTGTGGTGCCCAGGAACCTGAATGACTCCACTGCAGTCACAGTGCTGTCCATGATGGTGAGTGGGGGGAGTGCAGGGGGGTTCCTCCTGAAGTCCACTATCATCTCCACAGTTTTGAGCGTGTTGAGCTCCAAGTTGTTGAGACTGCACCAGACAGCCAGCTGCTCGACCTCCTGTCTGTAAGCAGACTCGTCACCGTCCTGAATGAGGCCGATGAGTGTGGTGTCGTCTGCAAACTTCAGGAGCTTGACAGAGGGGTCTTTAGACGTGCAGTCGTTGGTGTAGAGGGAGAAGAGCAGTGGGGAGAGAACACAACCCTGAGGAGCTCCAGTGCTGGTTATACGGGTGCTGGATGTGTATTTTCCCAGCCTCACTAGCTGCTGCCTGTCTGTCAGGAAGCTGTTGATCCACTGACAGACGGAGGTGGGCACGGAGAGCTGAGATAGTTTGGGCAGGAGGAGGTTTGGGATGATAGTGTTAAAGGCCGAGCTGAAGTCCACGAACAGGATCCTCACATAAGTCCCTGGTCTGTCTAGATGTTGCAGAACATAATGCAGTCCCATGTTAACTGCATCGTCCACAGACCTGTTTGCTCTGTAGGCAAACTGAAGAGGATCCAGCAAGGGTCCAGTGATGTCCTTCAGGTGGGCCAGCACCAGTTTTTCAAAAGACTTCATGACCACAGACGTTAGAGCCACAGGTCTGTAGTCATTAAGTCCCGTAATTTTGGGTTTCTTTGGGACGGGGATGATGGTGGAGCGTTTGAAGCATGAAGGGACTTCGCACAGCTCCAGTGATCTGTTGAAGATCTGTGTGAAGATGGGGGCCAGCTGGTCAGCACAGGATTTCAGACAGACTGGTGTAACACAGTCTGGGCCTGGTGCTTTTTTCCTTTTCTGCTTCCGGAAGACCTGGCGCACCTCGTCTTCACTGATCTGAATTGCAGGTGTGGGGGAGAGGGGGGTTGCTGGAGGTGTGAATGGTTGTGTGGAGAGGTGTTCAGGGCGGGTGTGGGGTGTTTTTTCAAACCTGCAGTAGAACTCGTTCAGATCGTCTGCCAGTTGCTGATTCTTCGCA